GGTTATTTCTGTCCATGATTGGATAGAACTACAAATACTCCAAGATTTTTTTTTGACTTCATTAAAAAATAAAATCGTTTTTGTAGGATGGAAACTTTTTGAGGTCAAAACCCCCACCCCCAAACTAAAGGAAATAAGTTTTTTATCCGACATCGATCTTTTGACGTCGTCCCTTACGCATAGCTTCTCTGCGATTTACGCCCCGTATATTTTAAGCGTAGCTTTGAGCCCCAATACATTTTGCTGGATCCGCCACTGACTGGGAAAGCAATGTTAACGGATTTTTATCGTTAACCTCCCCTCCAGAAAAAAAATCCGTTTAATACGTTTTTTTTCTCCACACAGTCAAACATTATAGCTGGTATGCCAGCATTTCGACAATGTCTATATAATGCTACTAGTCCATTTCAATGGCAGCAGACAAACCAAATTGGCGATGAGCAAAACACAGAGAGTAATATTGGATCGCTAAATCACGTCTTTTGATTTGATTATCAAACAGACGCCAAGTATCATGTTCTTGTCACGTGACTATGGGTGTGCGTGTTATGCGTATGACCCCGTTGTATGTACACCCGGAAACAGCGATGTTGTACATTTCAGGGGTCATGGTACGATATAAACGGAAGTCGATGTTATTGAAGAACTATTGTTCATCCTAATATCTACATTTTCCGAAAAGCATTAATGTATGTCAGTGTTGTAGCTGTTGGTTGCCATAGAGACTATTTCAAACAAGAAATATTCACCGTTAAGAATTTCCAGGCAGGCAGGCAGACAGACAGACGCGCTTGTGACATGACACTTCTAACAGGAATGGTTCGTTTTTCGGAAAATTATGAGAAAATCTTTTCAGATGCTCAGGAATTATGCTACACTGAAAACTGTGCGTGTCATCGTTCCCATGATGCTAATTATTTTGAGAGAGAAAAAAAAAATGTTATATGAAACAAGTCGGTCGAATTTATCGACAGTACTTTTCAAAATACAATGGTAGTCCAAATATCAATAAATAGACTGTCGGTAACTTGAAAACAAACTATTCATCGTTGGTTTCATGTTGTGAACATAAAGAGTTTCCGGTCTTCTACATTTTTCAGTTGCTTGATGGACAAGTGTCTGGAGAATGTCTCACAATGTCTTCGTTTCAATATGTACCATTATAGTGGTTCGATCACGTGACTTACCACCGGAAATATACATTTCACTTCAGCGTCACCCAAAGGTTATTGTCACGTGGCTGTGTCTGGGTGACGCACAAACGTGTAAATCGTAGATACTGTGAAGCCAAATAAGGCAATAAGTAGCATGTGGAGCTAAATTGCAACTCAGAAGTTATTATTGTCCATGGCTTATTTAATAATTATCAATAGACAAATCCTGTTTAGTTCTTCGAAGTTACGTGACCCAAATGTCTTGATTTAAAAGTACTTCGTGTGTATTTTATCTGTAATCATTTAGGCCCCGTATCAGTACTATTTAAAAAGAGCGCCACCTAGCGGAAAACGAACACAAGGTTGAAATCGTACGATCTATTTATCATTTCATCTATTTTAGGGTCATCGGAGCGTTGTCCAACTCCCCAGATTTCTCTCGTGTGTATGGATGTCCAACTGGAACCAGAATGAACCCGGCAAACAAGTGCCAGGTCTGGTAAACCTACCAATAGCCGTTCCACTGAAGACTGGAGCCTTCGTGACGTCACATCAACGTTGTGGTTGCTTGGCGACCCCGCGGTCTCGTCATGCTGTCCCCCACCCTCGAATAGGGTCATCTTTCTTGCAGTTGGCTAACAGCCGTCCCAGTGGTTGGTTTAATAAAAAATACATCGTGGCGAATAGTTACATGTTTAGTCACGTTCTTAGTAGTGTGAGTATGTCGGTTGAACAAACAAATCACATATACAATGTACTTTCCGCTTTTTTGTGACTTTAATTGGAATAAAGTTTATGCTTTAACTGTTTGTCAGGGAAACACAACAGATTGTTTTCATGTTCTTAAATTCGAAGCCACTCTATTAACCCGTGGAAATAGTCTCCAACATCTCTAACCAGCTGTCGATTATTCGTGTCACATGACATATGGTCCTCTCGCTACTTTAAAATATGCATTGAAATGAATAAAAATGAAGTGATGTTGATGTCGATTTTTTTATATGACTCACTATTCGCATAATCAGATTGCGCAAGTCCAAGTGAAAGTGAGATATAGAAAGTGAAAGGTGGCCGAGTTGCCAAATTTCTCAATTGATAGATCACGTGATCCGACCATGCATCGTGACAGTAAACAACCTATAAACCTGTTGCAATATTTCAATATTTTTTTTTTTTTTGAAATTATCGATCTGTAAACGATCATTCACGTCGTCCTGGAACATCGCGCCTATCTCTCGAAGTTTCCTCGAATGCCCCAGACCTACTCTGTTTTGCCCCAGCTCTGCGTGACACGCAGTAACTACTACCTCTGTCCGCAAGGTGACAGTGAACAATGTAGATATATTCTTCGCGTATTTACGGGGAGCGTAATCGCACGCAACCTTTTGTATGAAGGTCATTAACCAACGAGGTGTTTCACATTACTTAAACGTGCATATGTGCTATAAAACAGGTTACGTTGTCAACCACCGTTGCGAGCGTAGTATTATCTATCCCAATATTAGATAGTTATGTGCACGGTTAGGAACTAACACCGTGTGAGTTTTCTACGGTCGTCTACTTTTCTTTTAAGTAGGTGGGGGACTGTGATATGACTGTGTTTCCTGTACTCGTGTTGTCATGTTACTGTTAATACATCGAAATTGTTTTACTAGTACCACACAGTACGCAGACAGACACGCCTTGAAATATGACTTCCGCTGGCAGATCTATTTATCGTTCTCAGTCTGAAAGGGAAATGCTGATTCAATATTTCTGATATACATTTAAATTCCAAGTAACAACCAATCCAGTATAACAGCCATCAGCATTCCAAAGTACCGGCATCTTTGCTAAAAACGACGATATCGAACTGGCGCAAATCTATCACGTAGGCGACGTCACCTTGAACCGTACATGGTACGATCGGTCGTGACACCTTTAATAATGTGGTGCATGAGGCCGGAAAGCCAATAGAAAAATAGGGTCCCACGATAACCCTGAGTCACATGATGGCAATGAGACTTTGTGTAAAAGGCGGCGGTGTGTTTGAACTGTAGGGTCAGTGTCATTTTACGTCGATTCAATTGTATTTTTCAACGTCGTAAACTATTCCCTGTTCGCGTTTACTTGGCTTCCCGTCGATCACAAGTGGCACGATGACATAGACAACAGCCCTACTCCTACTACTAGCTACATATACGTCACGCTTACCCTAAAGTATAATCCAGTATTACTAATTCACAGCAAATCCGAGCAACGCTTACGCACTGGATTATTCATTTCGTTGAATTAAGAGAAAATGTACGTATTTTAAGTCCTAAAATGAAATTGTGACATATTGATGACAAAGCCCTTAAATTATAGTTTATCCAAGTCTAATGATAAAATGATCATTATCACCTGTGATATAAGCAGCATGGCGACACCGGGGGGACTGTGAAAAACGGATAGCAATATACTGTATATACTGTACTTCTAACGAACGCGGCGTTCTAACGTACTCATTGAATTTATTTATTTATTTATTTATTTATTTATTTATTTATTTATTTATTTATTTATTTATTTATTTATTTATTTATTTATTTATTTATTTATTTATTTATTTATTTATTTATTTATTTATTTATGTATAATATACTAGTAAACAGTGACATACGGGGTATCGCGACCTTTCTTTTTGTCTGTCGTACATAGAAGTGTCCACGCCCTTTTATACAACGGAGACTTCTTTTATTTAATTATATTGAAACCCCTGCTTTACGCTATTCAAAAACGACAGCATTGAGCAGAGTCACGCGATTGAACACAGAGCCCAAACTGATTGACGAACCATACTACCGACAAAATGTATCTCGACCTCGCCCATTTATATAGAGCCGACCATGATGGATACTAAGAAGTGATAGGTTTGTTCGAGAACGCAACTCCGTGCCACCGGAATTATGTCGACCCTCAGTCTTCGTGAAATTGAGCAATATTTGAATAAAATATGCTTGGTGGGTGTATGTATTCAAGGCATTCGAATATTTTTACCCCACCCGGGTCGTTTCCCGATACGAGTGAGCGTAATGAAATACAGTAACTACTCTCAGACTAGAGGATGTGACCCATGTTGATCCTTGACCATGACCGTTATTGTTAAATTGTGCCCCAATGATGAGTAGCTAGCGTGACGTATTTGTACGATCTCTGAACAAATCGTGGTCGACAGTGCGTGATGCAGGTTGATTTTGTGAACTCCAAACATGGCGTGTTTAGTATTTCTAATAACGTCACGCATACACGTATATGCACATAGTAAAAGTGTTTACAATGTTGGATTCCATAATTATGTGTAAGCTTCATGATTTCAATAATTAATCGATTTCACGTAATGTAATATCATCTCCTCTATCGCGACATTGATCGCGTCATTGACCTTGTTCAAATCGTGCTCGTTTCATATTTCCATATTTTATTCAGGAAAGCGACAACCACAAACACAGAATGAATCATAAGTCATTTCACTGCGTCATACAATATGCTCTACAATCGCATAAAAACGTGAGTAATTTTACGCTCAATGCCGGGTTTGTTGCCACCATTGTCACAGTTTCTCTGTATTTCTCTTGCAAAATTTAGGTGACCATTAGAAATTCTGGGAGAAGATATTGTAAAATACTAATTTAAAATTTGTTTTTGTTTCTACTTTTTAAAATGAATTCGAAATTTGCTGTTATTACCTAGTTTGGTCTATCCATTAATACACAGTTAATTTCATTTTATTATCTGATTAAATATTGGATATACGTTCATTAGAATCCCAATTATTTTAATTAAATATCTAATTATTTATAGTATATTTATAGGAATAAAAAACAGAGTCATTTCCGTTGTAGAAATATTTGCTTGTGATCCCTTATAATAACCTTTTTCATGTTTCACTGAAATGTTTAACCTTTGGGATGGTCTTCATATAAATCATTACGCTTGTATATAACGAATTGTTATAACACAGATGGATAACAAAAAAGCATCTAGCGTGATTTTATTTGAATATGTATCTCGAAGGATTATGGGTAACGCCATGTAATATATTTAATTGCATTGCTTGAGGTTATGACCGAAGGAGTGATATCTGCGTGAACTTGTAGTGTGAACATACGATCATCCGCAAAAGCTACACCTGTGATGAGCCGTTTGTCATTATACGATTACATAGGCATGTCAGAGATATCTGGGATGGTTCGGTGTTTGACTAAAAATATATAGAACTAGTATGCGCGGGTGAACTATTCGAACACATGGCTTTTAAACAAATCTGCGACGGCAATAACGCCAAGTTACGAGAGTTGTGATTGGTGCAAAGTATAGATAAGTAATGATACAGAACATCAGATTGGGGGGTTTATATGTAGAGGCGGATTCAACAAACTAGAATTCGTCGCTTGAGGTTAATACATGAATGAACGAACGATGCCGATTCCCCCGTGAAATAGTGATGTTCCTGACATGGTCGTTGGAAAAAAAACATCGATTTTTTGTACCTACCATGCGGCGAATCAAAAACATATTACCCACACTTAAAATAATAAACGTGAAGTTTAAAACTTTTGTTTGTTTGCCATTTAAAGAAAAGGAGTTTAAATTTCTGTTTCGCCCAAATTCACTTTACTTCTGAAAATCACATTGATAGACAATAGAGAGTAGAAAATTATATTGTTACAACCTCTAAGTCAGCACCTCACTTTTTTACCCCAAGTTAATTTCATTATAGATTTGATACAAACCAGGACGGTACAACAAAGAACGAGATGTCATGTGTAGCATACCTGTTTTTTTAAATAAGATGAACAGAAATGTGCTCTTTACTTTTTGAGGTAACTTACTCCCATTTAACATGATATTTTCGTGAAGGCAATTTAAAAAAAAATACCCCGGATGGAACGACAGTAGCGTTTAATGGCTTCCCTTTTTTGATTCGCAGATTAAGTAAGGCATCTTAAATTTCAGCATTAAATGTTAATAAATGTATGCGAACAGAATTGTTGCAGAAACAAGTTAAATCTTGTGTTTTCCTTAACATTGCGTTTTTTCTGCCAATACCGTACATACCCCACACCAGAATAGCCCATACGCTTAATGCACAGTTTCCGCAAAAGAATGTCATTTTCTGACTTTCTGTAAGATGGCGCAATCATGGAGTCAATGGCTAAATTTAGTGGTTGGGAGTAATTCCAAAATTCGTCCTCTGACGCTCTTCATAGAATCTGATTCTCTTTTGATTTTCTTTTGTCTTTTATTTACTCTGTTTGAAAAAATACAAACACAATCTGAATAAAGTGTAATGTATGTCAATAAACATTATTGTAAAATAATTATGCTAACGTGCGCAAACACACGCCATGAATTGAGTTCTTTGTACCCATGTATCAAAATGCAAACACATGGAACATAACAGGAAACAGACTATATTCAAGTTCTGATTGAAAGGATTTCGTAAACAGAATTTCACGTAATTTTACAGTTCCATTTTACA